AAAGAGGCCCATTTCCCAAGACGACGTCCGGTAGCTGCTTTCGTTATAAGGGAGCGTCGGCGAAGCGAATTGGGTCGGCGTTCTTTCGACGATCGATCCCAGGGTTATGCCCAGGCGTCGTTGCACTAAAGGAAGTTCAAAGTTCATACGGATGTCGCGGGCGCGTCCTTAGAGACTAGAGAGTATTGCCGTAAGATTGTCATGTTACATTGTCATATATAAAGCAACTCGATCTCTGAGTAGCGAATCTGGAAACGGCCCGAAAAACGGCCAAACTCATGCACGGCGCAATCTCGAGAATGTTGATACCAAGACGGTTTCCTTTTGTCGGAGAGATAACGCGGCCCTCTCGGTTTATAGAAGTCATAATCATATAAATGAGAAATCGCGTGGGAAAGCGGGGGATAGGGAAATAGGGAAATCAACACGCGCACAGCGCAATCCTTTTCCGCATTTGTGAAAAATATAATTTGCATACGGATAATTAAAAAATTAAATTAAAAATTGTGCAAAAAAATAAATATTCCTATTAAAAAATCGTTCTTACTTTTGGACATTCACAAGGCAGAAATTTAATATAAGAAAGAGATGAAAGTTTATTATTCAATATTTACCTTCAATTCTACTCGCTTTTGAGTTGTAGCTTTTTTTCCATGGCTTAATTCTTCAAATGTATAATTACAGTCAAATCTTTCATTAGCACACACATACAATGTTTCTTCACATTCGCGGCATCGAAAGCTTTGCGTTTTCAAAACAGCCGTACAACAAACAATATTCAGTAAGTAAAAGCCCTACCGGGAAAACGCGGAATTCGACATTTTCATGTTTTAAATCTAACTTCGATGATGGGATTTCATTTACTGCGCTTATTACATCTACACGTACACGATCGCGAGTTCGCGGCTGTGTACGTGCAAGACGAATACATGTCGCCCGGGCTCGCTAACACAGGGGCTGGCAAAGAGCCACGGAGAGACCCGCGGAATTCTCGTGGGAGGCTAGAAGTAAAAGCAATTGCCCCACGGTACGAAGAAGTCGCGTCTTATTTCTGCTACAGGCACGCCCGCGGAAAGTCGGACGACCCCCCGAGAAGAGCTTATTATCCGTTACGAACCATCGCGGGTTGAAACGAGTAGTGCCGGTGACGAAAAATGAAAGACGAAGAGAATCGGCGGTGAAAGAGACTGGAGAGGAAACGAGCTGAAAGAAAGTAGGTAGGAGAAGGCGGAAAAGAGAGAAAGACCGAGGGGGGGGGCGAGGAGAGAAGGCAACGGGTGGAAAAGAAAGAGCCAGAGGAGAGCCCTCGACGTCGTTGTCGTCGCCCTTCTAGACGTCGACCTATTCTACTTCGTGTTTCTCCAAATTCCCCGGATTCATGCTACGAAATTCCAACTTCTCGACAGAAGCACACGTAATGCTAAGTGGGTAACCATTAAGGCTCGGGAGACGATGATGCGGAAAAGAAGGGTATAATGATTCAGACGTGTACTTATGCGGCGCATTATTTCTCCTCGTGATGACGTGCATTACGTAGATGAGGACGGGAAGGATTAGGGGAACCAGACCGAGAAATTTGACTGTCAAACGAGCGTTTTCCGCGCTCCAAAATGAAACAGCCGTCTTTAAAAAATATAGATAGAATATTGTCAATTGTATAAAACACAAGTTAAGTGGAAATACGATTTTTTAAAATAATATAATATATATTTCTCTCGTGAGGAATAGCGGAATTATTAATTTATGCTCATATTTCTGACGTCTCATGTGTCTGTAGACCATGAAAGTCTCACAAGTCTCGCTTAATTAAGTAAATTGCGTAATTGCTGAGTGAAGTATTAAGCAGATTAAAACTCGCATTTATACACTACGTTTTCAAGATTGTGATTTACAACTACGCTATCAATTTTAAAAAATTAATTTAATAATATTGCAAGGAGATAGAAGTTTGTTGTACAAAATAGTCTTTAAAAAGTTTAAATAAATAACATTTACAATAACGAAATTCAACAATTGCGAAATAGCAAGAGTGCTATATATAGCGAGATTGCAAGAGTAGAATGAAAAGTGATAGAAAATAAAAATGTATTACATTGATGTCATTCGTCGTTAATCGAATCGAAGGCACAATATTTAAATAACAAAAATTCCGAAATAAAATATCAAGACCGTAATGAATATTATGAAAATCGCTTCCTTGCATATTTCTTACGTTAAATAATCGGCAAAAAAGGACCAGGATTATATGAGACTTTTATATAGTTGAAACGCATTATATAGAATCACGAGCGATCTTAATTCCGGCGAGAATAACGGTGAGGTTGGCGTGATTAACATATCTGTAGTAGCGAAATAGAAAAAAAAAGAATAGAATAAAAAGGGGTTGGAAGAGATGAATACACCACCGATAGTCGAAGGAGCTAAAAGGAACAAAACTGCTTGCGACGGCGAGTAAGAGATTGAAAGAAAAAAGCTGCGGAGAACGGGACGAGCAAAAAGACGCGAGGACGCCTCGGTGTCATTGTCGTACTTCTTACGACCATAAAACGATTTTATTCTTCCTTCCCGAATTTTCGCGATTTAAATTTTGAGAGATTTTTAAGATACCGCAAGTATTCCGAAATAAATAAAGTTACCAAGCGATAATACGAAAGAGAATATTGACAAAGATGTATGTAATATGTAGGACACTCCGCATGTTATGTACATATTGTGTATTATACAGAGAAACTATTCTTTATTCTGTCTTATTTCCTAGTCTTATCATCCTTTTCATAGTAGATTTAACATAAATAAATGTTATAAAATTATTCCTTCTATAAAGACACTTTACTCTTACTATACCCTTCCTTCTATAGCACTTCTCTTTAATTAACTTCGATGGTGAACTTTGAATTGTGCATTTAAAATAGAAGAGAAGATAACATGACTCACATATATGATGCGCAACGACAGAGTTCTAACAGCAGAGCTGTAACTTCGACGATCTGTAACATACACAAATATAAAATCCAAATTATAGTAATGTCTAAAGACTCTAAAGAAACTGATATTTAAGTTTTTCGAATATATATTGCATATTTTATTTGTCTTTTATAAATACTAACAAGACAATGACCTTATTTCCAAAGAAATATTCAATTTTCTCAAAATTAATTTCTAAATAAATATTCAATTATTTCAATTATATCTCAAAATTAATATTAAAATTTGTCAAACAGTAATTATATATGTCACCTATCGAATCTTATTTGTATCTAAAAATAAATAAATAAATATATATATATACAGATAATTTTATATAATTTTCGAAGAAATATATCTATTATTTAAAAGTAAAATGAGCACAGACATCTCTATTATATTGTGCTTATCAAATCTTACTTGTATCTTGCAAATAAATGAATAAAATAAGATAATGTAATTTCCAAAAAAATATCTTCAAAAATGTAGATTTTTTTTTAATTTCATAGATAAAATTTTCGCTAATTTTTAAATCATCCAAATAACCGAGCACAAATGAGTCATGGTATGAACGGTGGATAACGTAGTAAAGTAGTGAAATACCCCAGAGTTGCTCCGTCGTCGCTCGATGCCATCCAGGCCTCCTCCTCCTCTCAGATTAGGATCCCCCGTTGCTGCTTCCGCTCGGTAGTCACACAACACTCGCGAAAATAGGGTTAATTACGCGCGCGCGCGCGCCCGCGCGCTAATCAGCAGTGTACGACGATCGCGTACTTTGCACGGCACTCCCGACATTAATCGCACGCGACGTGCACTTTATCACTTTACGACGGAAGACTATAACGCGAGAGAAGAAAAACCGCACCAGCAGGGTTTAAAACGCGGAGTTACGACCGTATACTTCTCGTTCGTCACGACGCGACGCGACGCCACGCAATTCGAAGTGCCGCGCCGAAAAATTCGGAGATAAATGGTTGCCAACCCCACACGCGTCGACACCATGCGCGAGCATTTCGCGTCGAGCGATGCATGACGATAAGATCAAATTAATTAAATTAACTGGTCAAAAAACGCGGCGATAACACAACCTAAAATGTGCGAGCGAAATTGGCGCGTCATACATGCAAATATATCTTGCAAAGTGAATCCCGCAAAATGTACATTATTAATAAACGATACGTAAACAATGTATAGCGGAGCTATTCCCCGAAATATATTGAAATGAGCGCATATTATTCTCCGCGCTCTCCATTCACTAGAGTGCCCGGCAAATTATAATATACATTCAATCGATGAACCCGGCGAAAAAGCGTTGCGCGCGCGCGAAAACAATATGTATGCACATGTACGTCCAATCGTCATTAAAGAAACAATTACCGCGCGTAAATATCAAAGTGAAAACGATAATTTATGACCCGCGTCCCCTCGGCCGCGCCGCGCCGCGCTCGGTTTCTATACAGTAAACATCAAACGCGAGCAAACCGCGTGAAAGGTACATCCGTTTCGACAAACAACCGTCGTCCTAATACATACATTTACGAAGGTGGGTTAATTATATTCGCGCGAGGTGTGGCGTAGCGCTTTGTTTTTCCTCTTTTTCCCCCCATCGAGCATCCGAGCACCCCGATATATATATACGGGCGAACATAATACGACGCTTTAAAAGCAGCCCCTTCGAGAGAGTGCCTAGGCGAACGCGAGACGTTTTTCTTTAGTAACGCTAGAGAGATACCTGACGACGACACTCTTACGGGGGCGTCGTATAAGCATTACCGGCAATCTCTGATCGTCTAGAATCCCGTACGGAGTCCTCGCGCTGTCGGTGAAACTCGTCGCGATCACGTTTCGCAGGGCGTCGCGCGGCATGTGTAATTCACGAGCTACGTCACGTCGCGCGAGCGGCGCGAGCGATAGCGCCACTTGCCTACTACGCGGCGGCCGGCTGGGGGGGGGGGAGAGTGGGGGTAACCTTGGGCGTGTGTACGCAAGAAGCTCGCGGTGAGCCGGGCGCCGTGACCGAACAGTTACCGCGTACGCGTAAACAAATCACTCCGGCTCGACAAGGGCAGTGCGCGCTATCGTTCCTCGCCACTCACCAATCTCACCATTGACTTACGTAGTATGTCCGCGGCTCGTGCCACCCGGTGGCGAGTCGCTTCGTCATTACCTTCCGGAACGCGCGGCGAGTGTGCAGTTATTCTCTGCGGTTGATCATAGATCGCTAATCGATATAATCACTCGCGCGTATACGACGCTATAGTGTATCATTGTCGAACGTGTATTTTATATATATATATATATATATATATATATATATTCAAATTTTTAGCATTAAATTAATTAATTTTTCTTTCGAAGAACGAAAACCTTCGATCGTCTGTTTGATATTTTAATTGCACATTTTTTGAAAAGGGTTTATCGTCTCTCGATCATCCCAGTAGGTAATTCGATTTCATAGTTGCATCGCTTATGACGAATCGCGCGCGGCGTCGGAGCGAAGTTGGTAACATTGTCTTCTCGCATTTTCGAAGTTGGTAAATGTATAATGTCGCCGGTCGCGTATGCGATACGATTCTCCGTGAGCTGCGCGTTTAATGTAGCGCGTTTTAATTTTAAATAGTAAGCACAGTCGCCGAGGGCTCTGTATTTTAATCGGCGTGAACGTTCTTTTCGTGTCTCAGAATGATTAAGTGCGCGTCGCGTGCGATTAACGTCGGGAGTACCGTGCAAAGTGCGCGATCGTCGCATACTGCAGCTGATTAGCGCGCGCGCGAGCGCGTAATTAACCTTATTTTCGCGAGTGTTACGTGAGTAGCGGGACAAAGCAGGTACGAAGAAATCTAACCTGACTGAGAGGAAGAGCAAGTCTTGGAGGCATCGGGCGGAACAATCCTTTGTAAGTATATAATTCGTTATTTATTTGGTATCTATTACTCGGTGCTTCATTTATTTATTGTTATTTGGATAATCTATCTAAGTTAACTGCAGTATCTGTGAAGTTTCAAAAGTGTATATTAATTCTAAAAGATATTGTTTCGAAAATTATTGTAATTATCTTGTGAAATATCTATTTGCAAGATGCGAATAAAATAGGTCTAATGTGCATGTAATAATCTTTAAAATATTTCAATTTAATTTTGAAATAATTGAATGTGTATTTTACAAGTTACGTAATTATCTTGTTAAATATCTATTTGCAAGATATGAATAAGATTTAATACGCATAATGTATGTAATTGCTTTATGAGATATTTGAATATTCATTTCTTTGGATATTGCTATAATTTAAATTTTATATTTATATATTGCAGACCGACGAAGTTACCAATGCAGTTACAACTCCGCTCATCATATCCGTATGTCATATTATTTTTATTTTATATTGTATAATTCGAAATTTATCTGTTACTAATGAAGTTGAATTGAGGAGAAATGATAGAAATCATTTTATATTTATATTAAATCTATGTTTTAAAGTGTGTATATACATTCAGAAAAAATAAAATAATTCTGTCTGTTTTAATATAATAATTTGAAAAGTTTAGTATCTTCAATTAGTTTTATAAAATCGTGAAAATGCAAATAATTTTAGAAAGTGAATTTTGAAAATGTATTCACAGCAATAGATGTAACGTTGGGTAATAATTATTAACACTATTTAACAGTATTAATAATTATTAAATAATGATAAAATAACTAAATTAATTATGTAGACCTTATAGAATGATTTATAACAATATTTTTTTATTTAGATATTTTTTAAATGAATTAATATGCTGCAATGACATTATGACACATTTTTTGTTAATGATATATATTTTAATAAGATACAATCTGAAATTATTATTTTCTTATACTCCATGCATATTTATTGCAAATGAATAATATTGCTACGCTTGCTTAGTTCAAGCAACTTATTTATTTTTCTTTACAGCAACTTTACAATGCATAGTTGAGATGTTATTTTTCCTCAATTTTCTAGTTGCTGGTATTACTTTTTTTTTTAAGTATACCAAATAGTAGGACAGAATAGGGAAAACTCTTTGTGATACGTATACACATTTACATAATACATAGAGTATTTTGAATAAAAATTACATTTTTGTTGATATTTCTTTTCATTTCTTATCGCTTAGCAACATTCACTTCACTTTGAATACTTAAAAATTTCTATAAGATTTAGATCGTAAAAATTCGATAACGAATACAGATGGTTTTATGACCGTAAAAGAATTCAGAACAATAAAAATGAAAGAGTTCTCGCATCTTTTTGCTCGTTCCGTTTGCCACAAACATTCCCCGAAATGTAGAGACCATTCTCATCGCAATCTAACAAAATGAAGAAAATATCAAAAGCGCGTTCGTCTTCGGGACGCGAGAGTTATGGACGTCGTTGCGGACGGATGCGCGTGACCCGCGATAAAAGCGCCTGCAGGTGTGATGATGAACCGAAAACAGCGACCGTTTTTCATTGCGCCTAGATACAGGGAAGCGTGCAATCTGTTCCGGTGTAGCGCGTGAGTAAAATCGATTGGGTGGGATGCGATGAGGCCAAGCTCGAGTTCCATTAAGCGCAACGGTAACGCCCGGCGCGGCGGTCCGTGCAGCGGAAACTCTCCATCGTGTAACGCACGCGACATGCACTCAGAGCGTTACGTGTGCTTTGATAACAGAAAGCGCAAAAGGATTAAGCGATATTAACCCGTTAAATCTCGTAATCCTCTCTCTCTCTCTCTCTCTCTCTCTCTCTCTCTCTCTCTCTCTCTCTCTCTCTCTGAGGACCATTTTAAAAAGAAAATGTATCATTTTTCTCTTGCCCGACGGGAGCTCGCGCCGCGCGCGAATCCATTTCTAATTGAAAAAGTGCCAAAAAAATTTCCTGTTGTTCGACATCGTTAAATGAATATAATTCAAGTTTCGGAGAAGACGCAGAGGCATTTACCAAACTTCTTCTTTTTTTTTCCTCTTGAGTGGATATAAACGTCTTTATAAGTCACTACGGTGCGGCACGTGAGTGGAATCAACTGGAAGTTCCCAAAGCAGCTCAGCTATAATTCTCACAATGCGAAACCTTTTTTCTTTTTTTTTCGTGATTAAGATCGCACCGATTGTTCCCTATAGATAATTGCAGACAATCAAAATGTCGGAATAAAGAAGGACAGGAGAAAGATAGTAGATATCTGTTATGTATAATCGTGTATGATTTTTAGTTTTATTACTGCACAGCAAAGAACACACTATTGATTAAATTGATGAGAATATATATTTTTTAATCAAAAAAGATTAATTTAGAGAATTTATATTGAATATTACCCATAGCTGGAAAATTTTTCACAAAGCGCGGCGCTTATCTTTCATCTCAGGTAAAGAATAAAAAATTTATACATTTTATTACAGATATAAAATTCTTTCTCCTTTTTCCTCTTTTTCTTATTCGCTTTGTTACTTTTTATTACTTTTTATTATTGTCTATTATCATCTACTTTCTTTTATGATCACAATTTTGATGATTATATCTTTTCACGTATAAATTGAGCATGATGTGTTACTCTATCGTCATTTCCAGTTCTTGCTTCGTAACTTAATTATTTAATCGATAGAATCTTCGGGCACACACTGACGTCTCCGATCGACTGCGATAATAAAATCACATGGATTCCCAATTGATTGCAAGCGCGCGATAAGACGGCAAGGTGGTAAGACTGAGCGATAGGCAGAGATCGATTCTTTCCTCCTCCAGATAGTTAGAGCTATCGGTACGAGCTACCCTCGTAGCGGCGCGTGAGTGGAATCAATTGGAAGATAGGAAGGTAGCGATGTAGCATCCAAGTAGAAGTTCCATTAAGCCTGAGCAACTCAAGAGGCGCGCGCGGCTCTCTCTCTTCGTACACTCGGGTAGCCTCGCGACCGAACGACGCGTGCTCGCAGCTGCAAGACGATCAAGCAAGTTTCTTGGGAACTCGGACTCTCTCGCGGCGCTCCCCGGGACAATGACTTGTAATTAAGGGTAAGATCGACCGCCTGATATTCCGCGCGATGGTCCGGAAACTACGGCGCCGGAAGCTTCGAAAGCTCTCTTCTAATGGTCGACAACGATCGGCTGGTAAAAACTGCTGATTTATTTATTTTACGTGAATCTAACTCGCCCCGTGGAGTGGAGTTCTGCTAGGCTCGAGAGCGAATGAAATCTGTCTGATTTAAAAGTTCATTAGTTTCAAAATCCATGCTATATAGAACTGGGTTCATCACTCGCGAGAGAAGCTCTTTACTTGATTTAATTTCTCGTCTCGTTTGTTTTGCTGCGACTTTTGGCGAACAAGTTTCTCGTAATTGCGACCGTGTTTCCTCTACTATACAACGGGGATTCCAAATTCAAATTGGCATAATAAAAAGTGAGCTTTTTTTTAAATTAAAAAAAACTAGACGTTTCAAAAATTTCCAAATCGGGAATGCGAACAATACATTTGACATTGTTTCGGGAAAATGCCCTCGCATATCAGAGCGCAGTACTCTTTTGGCGCGAAATTCTCTACACACAATAGGAAATTCCGCGGATATTTTAGTTTTCAACTTCAGACGGTACAAAGCGCGTCTCTGGCCACGTGCCGTCCCTTTGGCACGCACAAAGATCCTCATCGTGCGAAATCGTGGGCGCGAATCGACTCGCTTATCTAAGTGGAACGCGCGCGGGCGAGAATCGGCACGAAGACAGGACGGGAAGAGAGACGTCCCTTGTAGAAACGTTCGAGAGCGCGCGAAGTTCAAGAACTCTCTTTTCGTGGAAAAGGGAATTGAGAGGAAACGCGCGCTGTCGGTTGTCCGACACGTGATCGGAATATCCCCGTGGTCGTCCCACCCTTGGAATTCCGCGCGTTTCCGATCCCGGTGCAGCTGCAGTAGCTACGACGTTGCGTTTCTGTGCCACACGAAGCTCTCGAATATAATCAAAGCGTGTATCCCGTGTCGATAAAGGCACACCTGCAGAATGGAATCAAACCGCGGCGAATCAAATCGGCAGGGGTCGAGATTCCAAAACTGATTATGATGGATCCTTTACGACACACTATCGATCTAACACGACACCGGTATCCGCAGTCTCGGAGCCGTGCCGGCCTTACCGCGCACGTTCACGAATGAAATATGACGCCGGTTGATATTGTTTCCGCGACGGAAACCAGCTATATGCGCGGAGGGGAAAAGCGCGTCGCGATATCGTACTCGGAAATAAGCGAGAGGTTTTCCGGAATTCGGAGCACGCCGGGTAAACGCTGTGATAAATACCGAGATAGAAAATGTTGTATCGCGTATATTATAGTGCGCGATAAACGGTGTTTACCCGATACACGTATACATACACGTGTATGTACGACAGCAATTTGCTGCCACATTTAATCAGAGTAACTCGACTGTTAATTACGACGTCAGGAAATGACGCTATTGTAGTTGCATTATTTATAATGTATACTAGCCAACACACTGGCCAGCCCGGCCAGCCTTTAGTAGCAAATTTCACGAGAAAATTCCGCGGACGATCTACGTACATGCCATCGCATCCCTTCGGCTATACACTCGTCTCGAATAGTCTCGATTTGTTTCCACGTCCCTCGATTCGCTTTACTTGGTGGCTCCTCAGTTGCGCGAAGCTTTTATAGTGTAAATGGAGAGTGCTTTCCGTGGGTGGCAAAAAAACCAGCGGAACAAAGTGCTCCGTGATCTGTCGGTGTATTAGATAGCCGTACGATATCCAACCGCGTATCGATCTACAAACCGCACATCCCGTCGTTTCGATGACTCAGCCAATCAAAGTAATGATTGATCTTCCATCAAAGATCTCCATCTTACAAAAGCGATTACCGTTGTTAAAGATTTCAAGTAGCCGGATTTATTTGCTTTTTGCAGAAAGAAATAAAACGAAGCTTAATAATAATAATAATCTCGAGACGTAGAAGAGGAATGGATAAAATCGTTTATCGGTACTTGATAATTGGAGTGCGCGGTTTGCATTATTGAGGGTTTCACGAGAGATCTCTTGTTTTCTACGAGTATTCATTACGGTATTGCGTGCTTTGCATAATGCATGCAAGAGATAAGACGTAAAAGACAATTGGCACAGCGAATTGTTATCGTTTCAGTTGCGGCAGCAATTTCTTACACATGTAGAAACGTAATTTGCCTTAATTGCAAATCTTATCTATTTTCCGTGTAAAGTGAATATCAACTTTCTCAACTTATCTCTGTACTTATCAATTTAGTTTTTATTTCCTTTTTTTTTTAAACATTGTAACACCTTTGCTGAGCAAGTAGAATAGAATAACGAAACGAGTTCTGTGCGGTTGATAAACTGTAAAAAAAACAC